CAGCCATTCTTTGTGGGGTGAGGTGGAATCTCAGTGTTGTTTTCATCTGCATCTCTCAAATGACCAATGATGTGGAACATTTTTTCATATACTTACTTGCTGCTTTTACTTCTTTGTCTGAGAAATGTCTGTTCCTTTCAGATGCCCATTTTTGGGTCTTTATATATTTGGGGCGGGCTGATTGTTTTGAGTTCTTTATATATTCTAGATAATAGTCCTTTGTCTGAGGAGCAGCTGGTAAAAATTTTTTCCCACATTGTGGGCTGTCTCTCAGTTCTGTTGATGGTTTCTTTTGCAATGCAGAAGCTTTTTAATAAGATGAGATTCCAGTTGTTGATTCTTTGTGCTAGTTCCCGTGCTACTGAGGATTTGTTCCTAAAGTCTTTTCCTATGCCAGCGTCTTCAAAAGTTCTGCCTAATTTATCTTCCAGCAAGTTTAGTGTTTCTGTTTTTAATATTTAGATCTTAATCCACTGGGATTTTAATTTAGTGCATGGTGAGAGATGAGGGTCTAATTTTAATCTTTGGCAGGTTGAGATCCAGTTTTTCCAACACCATTTATTAAGGAGGCTATCTTTCCTCCAGTGAGGATGGTCAGCTCCTTTGTCAAAGATGGTGTAGCTGAGTACATCTGGAGTTGTTTTTGTGTCTTCCAATCTGTTCCACTGATCCTCAGGTGATATTTTAAATGATTAGAAAATAAGGACTCAGGACAATTGTGATTCAATAAAAAGGGAGAAGACTCAAAGCTTTTAAAGCTACATGTCCTGACATGGACTTCCATTCTGCCCCTTGGTGCTCTGTAACCATCTGTGGGTAAATTATTGAGGCTCTGTAAGCCCCATTTTCCTCAACTGTGAATAGGGAGAATGGTAGCAACTTTGTATATTTCTGATGCAAAGCAGCAGGATAAATGTGATGGGCTTAGAACATAATAGTACATACATAATAAATTTTGGAGTCTTGTTATACTTTCTAAGTACATTCTTATTTTATCATAAAGGCACCTTCACTTATAAAGGGGAAAAAAGTACAAAAAATACATCTGAAGCAAATCTTATCCCTTCTTTTATTGTCTCCTAAGTTGTTTGCCAAAAGGAAATCCTAAGAGTTTTCAGAAAAGTGTATTTGACTGCTTTTCATTATTGTACAAAATTAAATCTTAGAAGCTTAGTTCTTATTTGTAGTGTATGTACAAGTGACATTGGAACATCTGTACTAATTTTCTCCTAGAAACAGAGAGGATATGTATGCCATACAAACAGAATATCCAAAATATAAAAATTGTATGTATATATAATTTACTCTTGAATGTCATTGGGTTGTTTTTAAATGACTTCTAAGTGCCTTATAAAACTATTAATCTGGGTGAGATGAAATTGAAACATCATAGGCAAGCACACATTTGTTTTCAAATAGCTCATAGAAGAAGAATCAGTATTCTCCATTCCTAACCAATTTTCAAGCCTTGTTTTTAAACACTAGTCTATCTCCCAATATCAGTATCAGCACAGAATGGGCTAGAATTTTGTTTTGCTATAAGTAACAGAAAACCCAGGTAATAAGGCTTAAGCACAGAAAGGCTTATTTTTCTCACTTTAAAAACCTATCTTAAAGCCTGGCATGGTGGAGCACACCTGTAATCCCAGCACTTGGGAGGCTGAGGCAGGAGGGTCGCTGTGAGTTCGAGACCAGCCCAGGCTATATAGTGAGTTCCAGGTCAGTCTCAACTACATAGTGAGACCCTGTCTCAAAAAACCAAAAAAAAGAAAACCAAAACAAACAAACAAAAAAACCTATTTTAAGCAAATGCTACTGGTACTCAGTTCATCATTTCAGCCTCAGCATCTCTGTTAATCACTTTCCCTTGTATCATCATAAGCATAAAGGTGAAAGAACCAATATCACACCCAACTCAAAATAGGAAAAAAGGTCCCATTTAATATAGCTATAAAAACAAATTTGTAAATGTTGAAGTGAATTTGGTCAGTCAAAGGGGTTGAGGATCTCTACAATGACACATTGATGGAAGAAACTAAAGAAGACATGTATAAAATGGAGGCATATGTATTCATAAATTGGACAAATGAATGTGCTTAACATGTCTATTTACCCCAGTGTGTTCCCAGGATAAGGGACCAGCCACTGATGAATGAGTAAAAAAATGTTTTTCATATATGCAGTAGAATTGCTTTTTAGGCATAAAAGATTGAAATTCTGTCCTTTGCACCATGTGGATGGGGCTGGAGATCACTTTATGGAGCACTGCGTGGCCCATAATCTCATAGGTAGACTCTAAAATTTTCATCTTGGGACAAGGGGAAAAATGAGAACCAAGACCTGTCATGGAAAGGTACACGATCCCAATGATGAATGTAACTGTACTGTATACCTAAAATGTACCCATAAGCTCAATGAGAGAAAAAAATAAAAAATAAAATTTTCATCTTATAGAAGCTGAGATGGAGTGGCAGACACCAGAGGCTGGGGAAAGGGGAGAAGAAGGGACGGAGAGAGGTTAGTCCAGAGGCACTGAGTTACAGTTAGATAGGAGCAAGGAGTTGTAGTGTGCTTTACGAGTAGGATAAGTAGGGATAACAATAAGTACATTTTTTCCAAAAAGTTAAGAGTCATTATTGCTAATGTTTTCTCCATAAAAATGATGAATGTTTGAGAGAATAGATATGCTTCACCTTATTTAAACAGTACACAGTGCATACATGTGCATCCAGGACACCACGCCCCATAAATATACTCATAACTTTTATATTTTCATGTATCAGTTAAAATATTTTAAAACTTTTTTTAAAAAATCAAAGTGATTTCGACAAGCCCCGAAGAACAAGTGAGAACCAGTTGCAGAGCTTCTTAAAGTTATTCCTGGTACCTATTGGTCTCAGGATAAATAACTGTCACTCTCTTTTGTGGCAGACAAGGGCATGCTTTTCCCACTCTTAAAGCGTTAGGAAAAGCACATAAAAAAAAAAAAAGGCCAAGGAAAAGAGTGATTAGAGTTCCAGATACCATTGTAATCCACAAAAAAATCTTCCTCTACTCTGTGAGACTTTTCGACCAGGTGCTGAGCCATGCGGCCACCTCACTGCAACAGAAGTAAATCATTTAAATTTTCAGCTTCTAAAGTGGAGATAACAAGAGAAACTATCAGGGGAATGGCTGGCGAATTACTTGTTCTAAAGCCTCTAAACTAAGTTGAATGGACCTGTTACCTGTTCTAACCTGTACTGGCTTTTCAAAATCCCATTTTCTAATTCTATTTGGTATGTCCTTGAATATTGATATTGCATCACCAAACCTTATTTTCTAAAAGAAATGCAACAAGTCCACAAGTGATAGGATTGATACCAGGTTTGTGGGATCCTTTTGTTTGTTGTCACTGTTTTTAACCAGACTATGAATCTTTTCTTTGATAGCAAGTCCGTATTGCTGGAATGGGATTATTTCATATTGCTGACCTCACAGATCCATGATTTTACAGGTGTGGGGAAGCCAAAACATCTACTGTTACTATCAAATATTAACCTAATAGTTGTTAAATAATTTGTCAAATGCCTCAGAGTCTTATATAATTTTTGTTTTTGTTTTTGATTTGGGTTTTTTTTTTGTACCGGTGATTGAACTTGGGACCTTGTGCTGGCAAAGCAGGTACAGCACCACTGAGCTAAATCCTGGCCCAGTGTTACATAAATTTAAGAGATATTTATTTTCCTTCAGGTTTTATGAAACTTACCAGGCCACTGAAACCATTTAATGATACGCATTTCCTCTGAGGATGTTGGTGTCATATGTGCCTTGACTTTATCCTCCCTTCTTTCCTCATAAGTTGATCATATCTGTCAAGGTATTATCTAATATGAATATATTTGAGAAAGGTTATCTCTTCTCAGTGGAGCACCAAGGATGGTGTGCTGGGAGTGTTCTCTCCCAGGGACATACAATGAAGAATCTGTGCTTAGAGATATTTGAAAGGCAGTGATAAAACTGACTAAAAGTTGTACTGCTGTTTATTTCCACTATGTTCTGGTGGCTGTAGACTATAGAAGGCACTCACGACCCTCTCTGCCAGGGCAAACCACCTTGACCCATCTGCTTTGCTTTTAGAATTCCCTGCTTCCTAATTTTAATTTTTCCCTTTCAAATAAGTCAGTAGTTTAAGGTTTTAAAGGGAAAATGCTGTTGGAAATATTCTTAATTTTATTTTTTTCATTTTAGTTGATTAGTACGTGTGTGCAGTATATAATGTTTGCATACCTTGGATGAAGTTGGTCCATCGACGCAACACATCTTACTCTTCTTTTTCTTCCGCTCTCCCTCCCCTCCCTTCCCCTGCCACCATCTTTTGAGCACTTTCCTTTTTTTACA